TGTATAGACAAAAAAAAATTATAAAATGAATAAAATTTTGTCACCTAAGAGTAGCAAAAGAATGTACAACAAATATTATTTTTCTATTCATCATCATTGCAAATTACATTCGTTTTTTTTCTTCTATTTTTCTATTAAACACGTTGGTCCTAATCCTCTATATGTATACATCATGATTTAAATATATATTTAAGATATTCAAAATTTTATTTTTAATTTTAAAAAGATAAAAAAGTGAAATAATAAACATAAATAGACAAAATAATATTTATATATAATATTCAATAGTGTATATATTTTGGTTTCACACTTTTTTTATCGACACAACAGTAACAGAACTACAACAGACCATCAAAGATATGTAAAATTTAATTGTATAATAAAACAATTGTCAACAAAATCTTAATCGAGTTGAATAATAGTTTCCGTTGCTAATTTGGCTTCGATCATGACTTATTTCTTATTCTGATTTTTCATATATAGTTCGACTTTGACGTTCCTGTAAGCTAAAGCTTTCGTATCGTTAAAAAGGAAACTTCAGTAAACATTTTCTTGTCCTAGTTAAGAAATTTACATAAATTTTATACATTTGTCTTCAAGGAAACCTAAAGGACACTCAAACATGTACGTATATAACCATAATCTAAATCACGAAATTGTCAAGTCGTGTTACTTAATCTGGAGTCTAGCTAAGACTACATAAATACAATTCTAGTTACGTAAGAAGAATTGTATACTATTTGTTGAAAATATTAATATGAGTTGTTATTGTCCAACTTGCAGAAAATTAAATCTGTTAATCTAATGTAAATATATACGAATTAAATCTCAATATATTTGCAAATTAAATTTTAAAAGAATATTGTGTTTTGTTTTTTCTTTTGGTCAAAAATATTGTTTATTGTTATTTTCCCAACTTGCAGAAAAATATAAGAGAGAGACACGTTTTTGGAGATGACGACTGCCAAACATTTTATATTGGATGATGATGCGGATAAGTGATACAAAATTCAAAGAAGGAACCATTTGAGATTGTTCTAAGATTGAAAACTGCAACTATGGTCAATGCAAAGATGGACGCATGATTTTGCACCACGAACTTACCAGAGAGGGTCAACTCGTTGGAACTTAAGATCGATATAAGTTATGGAAGGGTAAAGTCAACAGTAAAAACTATGAAAGTCCACTATTCAATTGAAGTTCCAACTCGTAAATTTGTATAGAGAGATTAAACAATGTATACAGGCATATTAAAGAGAATAGTGTATGCTAAAATGCCAAAATCCATAACTTAAAAAGGAGAAAAGGATCCTATAGCTATATACACACGTAATAGAAAACTAATTAGGTTTGATAAATTTACTGGATGATGTTTTACTTTATATCGGAAACCGCCGTCGAAAATCAATACAAGTTATATTATTAACATTAGTCTAAAGACATTTTTATCAATAATGTTTTACCAAAATTTTCAATATAAGAATGAAAATGTTGGAAAAGAAAGAGAAAGAAATATGGGAAGAAAAGTTTATCTTTTGAAAGATTCTATAATGCTAAGAGCTTTGAAAGTCATATGTCTTGTGAATAATTTTAACTTATATTTGAAACTGATTACATTATAAATTATACTAGATAAAGATGCTATAATGTTTGTGCGATTCAACTCTCCAATAATTAATTAAAATTGAATTGTACGAGGCATTACCGCATTGGCTATAGTGTTAAAGTATTACAGTATTTGTTACTTATAAAAAGAAAATTGATTAGAATAAAAGTACTAATTGTCGGACCGTTACTTAAAAGTCAAATCGGAATGGAGTGGACAATCATGGGCGTTGTCCTAGTATGGTGCTTGTTCCATCTAAGTTGGAACTAAGTAAGAAAATATATATTTTAATCAACTTATAAAGTTGAATTACCGTTAGCGTTGTCTCTTCTTTACGATATTTATGATGCTTAACATTATTTTTTGTCAAAATAAAATAAATTCAAAATAGATTTTTACTCTATATTTTTTTTCTCATTTTCTCCCTAAGAAAAATATTTAAATATTTTAAATATTATTATATTCTATTATTAATTCTAATTATACTTGTTATTTCAGAAACTTAAAATTTTATCCAGAAACAATTCTATTTTAATTATATATTGGGTATATATAAATTTAGCTTTTAAAAATATAATAATTTATACAAACTTATAATTGTATTATAGAAATTTTAATAATTTTCTAATATATACAATACAAATACTAAAAATAATATACAAACAAAACAATATAAAATGGAAGGGCCAATTTATAAATTTAAAATCTGAAATTAAATAAGTTTGTCAATAGTATTCATTCAAATATAAGAAAATGTTATTTCTAAATTTATATTATTTTTCCCTAAAATAATATATTATTTTTGAAGGACCAATTTATAAATTAAAAATTTGACATTAAATAAGTTTGTCAATAGCGTTTATTCAAATATAAGAAAAAAATATTTATAAATTTTAGTATTTGTGTTTTAGTATCATTTCTAAGGATCATTTCTTTCTCATTTGTCCTATCACCCGCTTTGAGATGCTTTAGTAGATTAAGCTAACCTAATTCCTTCTACCTTTTCCTTGCTCTTTGTAATCCTCGTAAGGACCAATTATTAATTCAAGCAAATCCATTGTCAAAAAAAATTCTGACTTTTTGATATTTTCCTAATAATAAGAGACCATTGAAGATGGTCTTTGTAGGGTGTCCAACCCATTCGACACAACCAATTGATCATATTTTATTCAATATTCAATTAATCAAACAAGAAAGGCAGACCACATTTGTTTCAGGAAAATCTTATCGTAGTCAAATGAACGTACTTCAGATTTCTGTACTGGTTAAGTTTTAACTTCACGATGTAGATTGGATTTAAAGCACTTCCAAATTTAGTCGTTGACTAAAATTTTAATATTGAGAAATAGATCTATATGGTTCATATTTTAAATGAAGAAAATATTTAGATTTTATTAGGTCATAAAAACATAACACTTTCATTATGGTGATTGGTGAATAGTAAAACTGTTCTTCTGTTTTTTTGTCATCAATTGTTAGTCAGTTAAGATATTTAAATGCAAATCTGAACTATTTGAACTATGATAATTTCGCTGTTTTTAAACCCCCAAAATAAAATCCAAACTTTTTCATTTGACAAAAAACCTTATTCAAGTCAACCCAACATGACGTGTGGTTTGTTTTGGATGGGTTATATATATATTTAGAATGAAAAGTATATTGCCTAAAGGAGAAAATATAAAAACTCACCTATTAAAAACTCATAAAAGTATAAAATGTTGAATTATAGTATAATTGTATAAATATCAACATTTTATTGGTAAATGATTAACGAAAATGTTTTGTTTATGTAAATAGTTTTATTAATTTGTGAAACTTACTTTCGCCTCTTGTCAAATGAAAATATACAAGTTTAAATCATCGGCATAAGAGATATAACATTTATACGTGAAGATGTGTATGAAATGGTAAGAAGATAAGTCATTTTGTTTTATTTTTATAAATATGTAATTTATCATTTGAAACGAAGCTGAATGTACAAATACAAAGACTTATGTAGATAAACCGATTAATGCCAAAAAAAAATTAAAAAACATTAAAGAATTTTTTTGTTGGGATGAGATCACCAAGACACTACAAAAATGCTTTTAACCATATTTGCATTAAATTCTTGAATATTTTGTACTCTTTCCTTGCTAAATTAATTAGTGTTCGGATAAGTTTGTCAATCTACTTGAAGATGAGTTATTGTCAATGTTAATACAATCACAGAGATTAATCATATCAATCAGGGGTGAGTGCAGGTGATGACAAACGGGATCACGTGCCTCCAGTTGTATTTTGATTTTCAGTGAGTAATTTGCTTAAACTTTTGTTTTTAATCTCATGAAAATGCCCCGACTCATCTAAAATTCATGATAGTGCACCCAGTTGAAAGTCATCATAGATCCGCCCCTGATATCAGTAATATATAACTGCTATATCTGGCTGCCTTGCTCCTTCATAGTACAGAAAATTCGTCATATAATATTTATAGAATTTTTTTAATTACAACCCTAAACCAAAATACCTGTTTCACATTAAATAACATATTTTGTAAGCGGTCATCTATCAGGATTAACTAGTTTTTTGGGGTCAACAAGAATTGAGTAACTTATTTGCTTGTATAATTGGTATATTAAATACGAAGGGATATTATTCTTAAACCATATGACCAATTCAAAATTCATTCCCGTTAATGCGTGGGCACTTTTTCTTATTGCCAAAACCCAAAAGTAGCTATGTTTCGTTTTAACTAACTACATCAGAAATTCTCAAGAAAATATCAAGAATAATTAATAAGTTAATAATTAACAGTAAGTGTGGTAAGATTTGTTTCGTAACCTTGATTCACAAAAGGTTCTCTACCAGTCGAACAATATACGCCACTTGATATATTTATCCGATTCATATTATAATATGTTTTGGTTAGTTATAACTCTTATAAACATTGACAATCGTAATAACTACCAAAAATCCTTTATTTGGTCGTTGTAAAAACTAAAAAGTCATAACGATGTACAATAATGATGAATGTGGCCTCATCACCAAACTTTCAGTCTTTTTCACAACGACCGAACATTTTACTTGATTTTTATAATTGAATTTTAAGGCATGCGATTAGAAGCGGTCGTTCACACGGCGCTACAAGTCCCACAAAGTCTATTCATCATCTCAGTTCTTTTTTAATAATATTCACCACAAGTCTTTGAAACAGTCCAAAGTCATCGTTTCCCTGAATTGTTAATAAATAATTGCGGCTAACAGTTGTTTGACTTTCTTTCGTATTCTTTGCGAAGAAATAACAGCGCATGTATATATGTTTTTTATTTTATTTTATTGCAACTTGTGTGTATATATAGACCCATAACAGGAACAAAAGCCATATCACCTTCTTTCTTCTTTTCCTCTTGTAGATAAAACTCGTGAAAACCCTAAAAACTGATATACATTTCAGAAACTAAAGAGTGTTAGGTAGTCAAATGGCAATAAAAGAGAGATCATTGGAGGAGACACCAACATGGGCTATTGCTGTTGTTTGCTTCGTTATTCTTTTCATCTCTATCTTGATCGAATATTTCTTGCACTTTATTGGTCATGTACGAATATTTCTTCTTCTCTTTTTCATTTTTAATCATTTTTTTTCCGTAGAAAACCAAAATATAGTTGGTAGCTCGTATAATCTCTACTTTTTCCTTTATTTTGTAGTGGTTTAAGAAGAAGCACAAGAAAGCTTTGTGTGAAGCTCTTGAAAAGGTTAAAGCAGGCAAGTTTAATTATTCTTCTATAAAGATTATTATCATGAATTCGGATATGTCATTTTACATCACAATCAGATCAATCTTTCCCTATTATTTTTCAAACTAACTTTTTTCTTTTGGTTTGCGATGAAAATAGAACTGATGCTACTAGGATTCATATCGCTTCTACTTGTTGTGTTGCAAACACCAGTCTCCGAAATTTGCATCCCAAAAAGAGCTGCTGCGACTTGGCATCCTTGTAGTAGGGCACAAGAGCTGGCTAAATATGGTGAAGATTATATCGATGATGGTCGCAAGATTCTTGAAGACTATGACTCCAACGACTTTTATAGTCCTCGTCGAAGTTTAGCGACCAAGGGTTATGACAAATGCGCACAGAAGGCATGTTGTATATTTTAATTACTGATTACTTTGTACATTTTTGACGTTTCCTCCTTTTTTTTTAACAACTACTGTAGGAATCTTATTATTTTTTCTTGGTTGTGAATATTTTCAGGGGAAAGTAGCATTAGTATCCGCGTATGGTATCCACCAGCTGCATATATTCATCTTTGTGCTTGCTGTTTTTCATATTCTCTACTGTATTACAACCTATGCTTTGGGGAAGACCAAGGTGCATGATCGTTCCATACAGTTTTTACTAGTGCAGATATATGTAATTATTTATATGTTTAGTTTTGTGATATATATAATATAATATGCAGATGAAGAAATGGAAATCATGGGAGAAAGAGACCAAAACAATTGAATACCAATATGCCAATGGTATGTTAGCCATTATCTCATCGCCATTAATGTGTTAAAAGTTTCTTATTTGGATAATTGCTGGAACAAAACTAAAATACATGTTATGGTTTCGGATCTGGAAGATTATATGCTTCGGTTCAGAACTTCTTAATTAGTAGTATTCAAAGAAAAAAGGTCGGATATAATATTTTCGTGGGGTGTATGACTTTGCCAACTTTCATGATCAAGTTGGTTTAGTTAATGGATTAGTTGTTTTACATTGACATGACATAACGCCTTTTGTTTGACTCATGAATAAACAATTTGGTGAACAAAAAAGAAAACAAACAGTTGAACGCGAGAAAGTACCATCACTTTTTTAATTAATTATACCAATTATTATTTAACTGAATGATTAAATATTGTAGATCCAGAGAGGTTCAGATTTGCGAGAGACACGTCGTTTGGACGCAGACATTTGAATGTATGGAGCAAGTCTTCTGCTACCCTCTGGATAGTAAGTTTTCAATTTATATATATAGAACTTTAAAAAAAATTATTCTACTTTTTGTATAGTTTTTCTGTTTTTTTTGTATTTAAAATTTTCTTAAAATAACAACAAACTTATCCCTAAATGGGGGTATGCAGACTTGTTTCTTCAGACAGTTTTTTGGATCAGTGACAAAGGTCGATTATCTTACACTAAGACATGGATTTATCATGGTCAGTAAACTCATTCTTGTCTTTGTTTATCAAAAGTCCATCATCGACGTTTTAACTGAAAAACTATATTAATCGGATAAGGGGTGAACTGGTGCAGGCCCATTTGCCAGCAGGAAGTGAAGCTCGCTTCGACTTCCAAAAATACATTCAAAGATCTTTGGAAGAAGATTTTAAAGTTGTTGTTGGTATAAGGTTCGACACTTTCTTTATTTAAAGTCAATTCATTAATATATTTTTCCAATAATCTAATTCTCCATATAATTTAGAAATATCTGATTAAACTAGTTATTACATTGTGTGTGAATGAAAATGCAGCCCACTGATATGGTGCATTGCTGTCTTGTTCATATTGACTAATACACATGGTTGGTCCTAAATCTATATCATTTCATTTTACTAATACATATGTCGACGAAAATGATATGTAACTTCCATTTTTGTTTGAAAATTATAATAGGATGGCATTCTTATCTTTGGCTGCCTTTCATCCCTTTGCTTGTAAGTAATTATATACACATTACTTCAAATTTCAAAAAATTTAATTGGTATATTATGCTTTTAATTATGCAGTTGTGATTGTGAGCATATATATTAATGATACTGATATATGGTTGGTATGTTGAATGAATTGAAGGTGATATTAATAGTAGGAACAAAACTTCAAGTGATAATATCAAAGTTAGGACTAAGGATTCAAGATAAAGGAGATGTGGTTAAAGGAGCTCCTGTAGTTCAACCAGGCGATGATCTCTTTTGGTTTGGTCGTCCTCGTTTCATTCTCTTCCTCATTCACTTGGTTCTTTTCACGGTATAATTGGTTTACTCTTTTGTGTATTTCCTCTTTCTTTTAATTATGATTTTCTTCTTAAAAAAAAGTCTTATATATCTGTTACAGAATGCATTTCAACTGGCTTTCTTCGTTTGGAGCACTGTAAGCATCGATACATCCTCTTTTTCAAAAAATTATCTTCCTATTAAAATGGTGTTTTCAATAAATTGATTTGTGACGGGTTTGTTATTAATTTTGCAGTACGAGTTCACACTAAAAAATTGCTTCCACCACAAAACGGAAGATATTACCATCAGGATCGTCATGGGGTCTGTTAACTTCCCCAACTATCTGTTTATAAAATATACAAACTAATATATATAGATATAATGTATGTTATGTATCTTTACACTAAACTTTTCTTGTTGCGTACTACAGGGTAATAATACAAGTTCTATGCAGCTACATCACTCTACCTCTCTATGCTCTCGTGACTCAGGTATATATAACCTATAAGTTTCTTAAAGTTTTGCTTGATACAATCCTGTAGTATATGAATTGCTAAACGTGACTCAGATATAATCTTCTCATGAAAACAATTTTCTTAGAAACGGGTGGTTAAACTCAAATTTAATACATATAAGTAACTTTCTGGTCGTAATTTTTTAGAAACTCAAAACAATTGTAGATAATAGATAGATACACGTCTCAATTCTCATATAGTTTATTATTAAGCCTCAACTTGATATTAGATTCTCTAACACAAAACTGTGACTACAGATGGGAACTACAATGAGGCCGACTATCTTCAACGACAGGGTAGCCAATGCATTGAAAAAATGGCACCACGCGGCCAAGAAACATACCAAACATGGAACTTCGGGGTCCAACACACCAAGCCGCCCTGCCACGCCAACACATGGCATGTCACCAGTGCATCTACTCCACAACTACCATAACCGCAGCCTTGACCAGCAAACCAGCTTCACTGCCTCTCCTTCTCCTCCTAGATTCTCTGATTACGGCGGCCACAGCAATCACCGTAATTTCTTCGATCCTGAATCTCAGAGTGTCTCTTGCCAACGTGAGATCATAGATTCCGAAAACAGCAATAGTCAGCATCCCCATGCTGACACCGCAAGTCCTGTTAGAGAAGAGAGAGAGATTACTGAGCATGTCAGGGTTGATCTGCCGGAGTTTACTTTCAAGAAGTAATATGAGTTCTATGCTTTACTTGCTGTTCATTCTTTGTAAATGATATAAGCTTTTGAATGGCCCCACTTCTCTCTCTCTGCTCTTGTTTTTATATTATCAATTTTATTGTCAATATAGAATAATATCAAAAACGTTTTATGACATCACATCATATTAACAGACAATTTATCATCAGATTAGTATCTTAAATTTATTAGAAAACCATATACGTTTTGGGGTTTGGCCTTGCCCAATTATTCTCCACTAACCAAATCAAGCTAGACCAAACCATTTCAAACAGAAGTTACAAAACAATGAAACCTTAGTATATCCTGAGAATTTCAAGGGCTCCAAGCAAACAACAACAAAATGTATGGGCCAATACGTAACAGATATGTCCATAAGATACTTGAGCCCATCATGTCTTTTCTTCCAAAGCCTTTTCAAGAGTACTGTAGAAACTTCTATTTCAAAGTAGCCCCTAAATTTAATAAACAGCTTATAAATCACAAACCTATGTTTGGACAGCTCTAGTGAAAGTCGACTCAGCATGTAACCATACCAAAATAACTCCTACTCATTCCAACCAAACCAAATAGTAGTACATGGGTATGAGGAGTTTAACGAGCTAGGAAAAGGTAGCTTTGAGTTTATCTACAAAGCTGCTCTGTCTGATTGGGACACAAATCCCGGTCAAAAGAGCCAATGTTGCAACCAACAAGTTCCGGGACGCAAGTCCCGGTCATACAACCATCATACTGTTAAAAGAGATACTTTGCAAAATCACACAACAACATTGTGAATTTGCAAGGGTATTGCGTTGAAATGGGGAGCGGCTTCATGATTATCCTATGGAGATCTTTCTCAACTTGATTGGAGTATGTAATTGAAGATTATGTTACAAGCTGCAAGAGGATTTGGTTACTTCCACAATGAGGTGGATCCTCCTATAGTTCATAGAGATATGAAGACGTCTAACATCTTGTTAAACGGTGAAATGTGTGCAAGAATTGCTGATTTTGGATTAGTAAACTCGAGCGAAAGGGATTCAAGTAAGAGTGATAGAGAAGGTGATGTGTAAGACTATGTGGTATTGTACTTCTTGAGATATTAAGTGGAGAAAAGCTAACGAGAGAGAGTCTGATCCTCCAAGGATTGCAGAATGGGTGGTTCATTCGATCATGAAAGGCAAAGCAGCTATGATTGTCCATAGAACATTCGCTTGCCAAGGAAAGTAGAGCTGATACTAAACCTGGCTGAGTTAGCTGCTTGTTGTGGAGAAAAACCCAAAGGAACGACCAAGTATGAGAAGTCTCTTGAATTTTTTTGATCTCATTGTCAAGATTGGAGTTAACTTTTAATCTGCTGAAGCCACTTGAAATGTGAATTATATAATGTATTGTTATTTTCATTTGTTACAGGATTGTATAATAATTGGTTAATCAAAATAATAAACAGAGTTGTTACCAAATTGTACAGAAAGTGACCTTCGTATGTGGGTTAATGGTTAGATAGTGAATAGTATAATCAATTGGAAATATATGATTCCAAAAATTGGTCTATGTGTCGCGTAAACGTTAATTCAGCTATTTTTAAAATTATTTGTTTAAAATCTGATTTGTCTGAATCAAATTGATTTAAGTAGTAATACATTGGTGAAAATCGGTTTAAATCTATCTAAATTAGTATAATCTGTTAAATCAAGCAACAATGTTAGTAAAAATTCTCTAATATGTTTAATTTCTATTGTTTTGTATATTATCTAATTTTGGAAATCATCAATACACCTTATTTAAATAGAACTTATGTAGAAAATAATTCAGAAAGTTGTTAACAACTAAACCTAATCTAGACCCCGAAAAATTTATCTGGTTTTTTCTATAAAGGACTTAGTTACCGTCTATAATTTTTTTTATAAAAAATTAGTTGGAAGCTATGTCAATATACAATTGGTCTTATCAATAAAAACACCATAAAAGCTTATTGAAAAAAAAAATGGAATGTACATATGTTTAATTTTACTGAGAAATATAACGGTTTCACAAGACGACGTTGGATATTTGTTATATATCAATGATACAGTTTTTTTTCACCTTTAAATAGTATAAAGTATATTTTATAATGAATGAGCTAATCTGGTGGAAAAAATCGTTCTTCAACTTGGTTAAGAAAAAGAAAACAATAATAACACTCAGAGGCAGCATCTGTCTTATATGTAAAACACTCACATATCACATCACACAGATCTATAACACCCGAACTATATAATTTAGTATACGAATTAATAACTAATTCAAACGGTTGGAATTAACCTTTGTAAAAAAACTACTGAGCGTGGCCCTCGGTTGTTGAAAATTCTTTGCTGACCTACTTTGACTGACATATTAGAAAACTTACATTCATCATTCCCTAATGTCCAATCACAGAGCGATACAGGGACTAGTGTGGTCCATCTTCTTTAGCGATTATTACAATATTTGTTTCTCGATTTTCCTTTCATCATTACTTTACCACCCAAAGATTTTTATCCCAGAATTAAATTTCGTATACTTTTAAAATGCAAAATGCAATAGTTTTTTATTTTTTCTATAAAAGGCTGCGAATAATAACGTATAACTTTTCTATTGTTATAACATTTTTTTCGCATTTCTATGAACTAATATATGCTTACTGATATATATATCGAGAAATCATCCTTACAAAATACATAATTTTGAGGCTATATAGGTTGTCATGTGTGTTTGTGTCAAACAGTCTCACGCATGGTTGGATAGATGCTTCGAATAATCACAGGCACCGCATGCTCAACCTTTAGGGTTTCTTCCTCCTAGTATTTAATTATGTTTCTGTTTTTAAGTATTATTTATTGTAATATCTGTAAGATTAGAGCCAGCCAAATAACAGTAGTTGGATATAGATCAAGACATATTACATGAGTTAATTAATACCCCCTTAAAGTTTTTATCAGTCATTAATTGAACTTCTCTTACAATTCTTCCTTACAAATACTTTAATATTCCATATGTTTCAAGTTAGTTCTCATTTTACAAATTTTAATTTTATATGTTATTCGTTTTAGTAATTGAATTGTGGTTATATTTATATGTAATGATATTTTTGTTTAGAAATATAAAAATTAAATATTTTTAATCATTAAAATAAAATGGAGGAAATCTTATTTTACAATAAGATCTTTAGAAGATAAACGCAATATTTCTCTAATTGTTTCAATATATAGTATTTCATCCATTTCATCAATATATATATATATATATATATATATATATATATATATGCAGTTTAATTTTTTCACATATATTAAAACATAAAATAACTTTTATTTTGTATTTCTAATTCATATATTATTTATTTAATTTTTAATTAATAAACTAAGAAAATATAGATAAAATTAGAAAGTATATTTAAAATATAAAATAACACTTATAATGAATTGATTTTAAAAATCTATTAATGACACATAATATGATACAAATGGAATGTTAATCTTTGACAACAACTAAGAAAATATAGATAAAATTAGAAAGTATATTAAAATATAAAATAACACTTATAATGAATTGATTTTAAAATCTGTTAATGACACATAATATGATACATATGGAATGTTAATCTCTGACAACAATAAAAAAGAATAACAAAATTAAACGACTATGCTATGATTTGTAAATATATATATATATAACATAATATATGGCTAATATACATATTAACGGCTATAACTTAACATTATGTATATCGTACATGTCATGATATTTAATCAAAATAACATAAAGTATTTAAATTTGTCACAACAGCTTTACTAGCTAGCTTGAATGGTTCGTTTTTATTATTGTGATCACTCAGATAAATAGAATTAATTGCAGTTGCTTCAGGGGAATATATATATAGTTTGTTTTGAATTAAAAATCCCGAGAAAAAAATTAGTTTATTCATAATGAACGAGAGAGAACGAACTTTTTCATACTTAAAATTAAGTGTTATATCTGCATATTGGTGCATAATTGTTTATACGAATACTTATTAATTTATGTTTTATTAATTCAAAAACCATCATCATAGATTATTATTTATGTTTTAGAAAAATAGAAAACAAACATAAAAAATTAATTGTAAATGACAACCTTCACATATTAGAATTATTTTAGAAAGTATTTAATTATATATTATATCTTTATGTTTAATATTAACAGTATAAGTTGCTCAAAAAAATATTAACAATATATTCTTAAGATAACTAGATAATACATAAGAATTATCTTATTTTCTAAAAAATATAATATTATTAATAAAAATTTAATTTTATTATATAATAAATTATATATAATTATTAAAAACATGTCAGATAAGTAAAATTACCTAAATTGTGGAGAAATTGATAAATTAACAAATTAAGTTCCCAAATAATAGTACAAACATATATATAAACCAAAGGGAAACTAACATTGCTTCTCCTTTCGGTCAAAAAAGATATATAGGCCAAATATATCTACTCTATATGTAATCAAATATTAAATTCTTGTAATCACATCTTAAAACAAATTTTGATTATAGTACATCTACCTAGTTTGTCTATATATTTACTCAAAACCTATTATTTATATATCAATTTTCAAAGTGAGATCAACAACCAGATGCAATCATTGCAGAACCTCACGGACTCGAATTCAGAAATGTGTGATCCATCTTCGTGTGTGCAGAAAATTGTGCGATTGAAGCCATAAATTTAAGTATAAAATACTGTCAAATGATATATAGGTCACAAGTTATATACATATACATTTACAGAATGCCCTTTCTCAAAAAAAAAAGTTATTTACATCCCTTACATTTATATATAATGTATAAAATCGATATGAGTGGAAGATACAAAAGAATCTGAGAACCGTATGGGAATGTAATAATTAGCTATCGATATAATTTAACCATTTCGTAGCCAACTAAGCTAAATTGATGTGAATACAGAAAGATCCTCGTAAGAAGTGCTGTGACAAGACAAACAT